TCGGTTACCCGTTTGGCAAAAAGGGGTGGAGTTTGTATGATTTGGATCGTCAGATTTTCTTTGTCTCTCGTAATGTGGAGTTTCTTGAGACTGAATTCCCATATCAGTCAGACTCGTCTGAGCCAGATTCTTTGTCATCGCCTCTTGTTGTGCCGGTTTCTTCTGTGTCGGATGATGATGAGGATCTTCCAGTTGTCTCTTTGCCTCATGCTTCTCCTGATACTGGGTCTTCTGCTGTTGATATGGACACGTCTGACGACAGGGGGGGTTCCATTACCATTACCCCTCCCACTCTTCCAGTGGAGCGATTGGGTCGTGGTCATCGTTCTAAGGTTCCTTCTACTCGGTTAAAGGATTTTGTGGTTGACACTGTTCGCCCATCGACTGTTCCCCCCACTGCTTCTCCTCAGTCGTCTCCATCCTCCGATACGCCTTATCCTATAGCACATTATGTTTTTTGTGATTCATTCTCTCCAGCTCATCGAGCATTTTTGGCTGCTGTCGCCTCCACTGCTGAACCTCGCACTTATGTTGATGCCGTGACTGATCCTCGATGGCGATCCGCTATGCAGGATGAGATTCGTGCCTTGGAGAATAATGGCACGTGGGATGTAGTTTCTCTTCCATCTGGGAAGCGTGCGATTGGGTGCAAGTGGGTCTTTAAGATCAAGCATAAGTCCGACGATTCTATTGAGCGCTATAAAGCGCGTCTGGTGATTTTAGGCAATAATCAGGTGGAAGGTCTTGACTATCATGAGACGTTTGCTCCTGTCGCCAAAATGGTTACAGTCCGGTTATTCTTGGTTGTGGCTGCTACTAAGCATTGGGAAGTTCACCAGATGGATGTTCATAATGCTTTTCTTCATGGTGATCTGTCCGAGGAGGTTTATATGAAGTTTCCACCTGGTTTTCGCTCTGGTGTTGATGGGCAAGTTTGTCATCTCCGTCGTTCCCTCTATGGCTTGAAACAGGCTCCTCGTTGCTGGTTTGCCAAATTGTCTACGGCTTTGAAGCTGTATGGTTTTTGTCAGTCTTATCATGACTACTCTCTTTTTACACTGCATCGTGGTTCTGTCCACCTGCAGGTCCTGGTCTATGTTGATGATCTGATTGTTTTTGGGAATGATACCACATTCATTGCAGCCTTCAAGAGTTACTTGAGTCGTTGTTTTCATATGAAGGATCTTGGGTTGCTTAAGTATTTTCTGGGTATCGAGGTTGCCCGGAATTCTTCTGGCTTCTTTCTCTGCCAGCGGAAGTATGCTCTTGACATTATAGCTGAGGTCGGACTACTAGGGAGCAAGCCAGCTGATTTTCCATTAGAGCAGAATCATCAGCTCCCTCTTGCTGAGGGTGATCTGTTGTCTGAGCCCGAGCGATATCGTCGTTTAGTCGGACGTCTTATCTATCTGGCAGTGACTCGACCTGAGTTGTCTTACTCGGTGCATATGCTCTCTCAATTTATGCATCAACCGCGTCAGGCTCACTGGGACTCTGCTCTGCGTGTAGTTCGATATTTGAAAGGCTCTCCTGGTCAGGGAATTCATCTTCGTACAGACTGCGATTTTCAACTCTATGCATGGTGTGATTCGGACTGGGCGTCTTGCCCTCTCACTCGGCGCTCTCTTTCGGGTTGGTTTATTCAGTTGGGTCAGTCTCCTGTTTCTTGGCGAACCAAGAAACAACCTACTGTCGCTCGCTCTTCTGCTGAGGCTGAATATCAGGCGATGGCTACTACATTGTGCGAGCTGAAGTGGTTACAGGGTCTGTTGTCTACTCTTGGTGTTGCTCACCCTCAGCCTATGCGTTTATACTGTGACAGTCAGTCTGCGTTGCATATTGCGGCCAATCCAGTTTTTCATGAGCGCACCAAACACATAGAGATAGATTGCCACTTTGTTCGTGATGCTGTTATACAGGGTCTCATTTCTACTACTCATGTTCCTTCCGGGGAACAACTCGCTGACATCTTCACCAAGGCGCTTGGGAAGCGTGAATTTGATTTTTTTCTTGGCAAGTTGAGCATTCGGAATCCGCATGCTCCAACTTGAGGGGGGGGGGGTGTTATTGAGTATATTTGTGTATTTCCCGTATTAGCCTTAGGTTATGTTAACCCTAATTTGTGTATATATATACTTGGTTAATAGAATTTGGATCATCGGATTGAGATGATTTTTCCCACAGTCTTCTGTCGTCTCTTTCGTATCATGTTTCGTTTAACCACTCTACTATTTTTTTTCTCATAATATATAAACAGCAAATTTAGCACACACGAAATTGTGAGTTTTATTTTTCTATAAGATAATGTTCCCTTACCTACTGTAGGTACATGTTAATATGTTCATCGCTAGCTTATGTGGTATGCACACATTGATGATGTTAATATGTTCAAAAAACACATCACCAATGTGTGCATGCCACATAAACAGTGATCATATTAACATGTGTCCACTGTGAATAGGAGAGCATTACTACGTTTTTATATAATAGGTTTAGTTTGAACGGCAAGAGTTGGATATGCTTCTCTTAAATGGAAAACAGTCTGTCCGTGGCATTTAGTCATTTACCGGAAACATATTACCGTTGGTTTCCAAATAGGGTCCATTTTTCAAATGTGAATCATAAACATATTGCTGTCGCTCGTTTTTACTATTTTTT